CTGGATGAAGGCATACGGACAAGGTGACCAGCCCAGCGAAGTTGGTTCTTGATAATATAGGACTCAATACTTGTGACATTAGCCTCTTCCAAAACACTGCTGTTTGTTCGTCTGTCTTGCCACTTGATGTTGAGGATACGGCGAAGGCAACCCTGATGATACCTCTCAAGACTTTTGAGATGAAGGTTATAGGTTGCCCAAGCTTCTGAGCCATACAGCAGGGTTGGCAATATTACGGCCTTGTAAACCTTTATTTTGGTGTTGGTGTAGAGGTTTCTATTGTCAAACACCCTGTCTCTGAGGCTACCGAAGGCAGCACTAGCTGATTTTAGACGAACTTGGGTTTCAACATCCAAATCTGCCTTGCATGATAGGCAACTACCAAGATACGAGAAATGATCAACAGAGCTAAGGCGTGTGTCTCCAACTGTGATCTCTGGTTGTTTTCGCTCAAGTGTGTGATCAGGTGATGGTTGGAAAAGAACTTGTGTCTTCCGAGCATTAAGTGTGAGGCCAAGCGCATCATAGGCATAACTGAAAGCATCCACAGCCACTTGAAGGTATTCTTCTGTGTGGGTCACTAGGGCGTTGTCGTCAGCATATTGGAACTCGAGTATATGTGAGTGGTTGATATCTTAGCCTTCAGTCGCCATAAGTTGAACAGCTTGCCATCCATCCTAAGCTGCATATCTATACCATCAGGTAATTTCTCCGACACCAGGTGTAGCACGGCGAAGATGAAAATCGAGAAGAGTGTTGGGGCTTTGACACAGCCCTGCTTGACACCAGTCTTCACTACAAAACTCTCGGTAGACTCGCCATCAATAAGTACTGATGCAGACATGTTGTCATGCACCAGACGGATCATTCTGATGTATTTCTCTGGGCATCCAATTTTAGAGAGCACTTTCCACAGTGTTGGCAGATGCACGCAGTCAAACGCCTTAGTCAGATCGAGGAAAGCCGTATAGAGGTCTTTATGCTATTCCCTGCACTTTTCCTGGGTCTGTCGTGCCGAGAAGATCATGTCCACAGTCCCACGTGCTGGTCTGAAACCACATTGAGACTCTGGAAGGACCTCCTCGGCAATGGGGAAGAGGCAGCATGCAAGGATGCGAGGAAAGATCTTCCCAGCAATGAAAAACAGGGATATACCTCGGTAGTTTTCACAGTTTGCCTTGTCGCCTTTCTTGAAAATGAAAATGGTGACAATCAGAGCATCTTGAAGATCGCTGGGAATGACTTCCTCGTCCGAGATTCGCGTGAAGAATACATGCAGTTTCTCAATGAGAGCTGGACCAGCAACCTTGTATGCTTCTGCAGGGATACCATCAGGGCCAGCACCTTTGCCTTTCCTCATAGCACCTATAGCTGTGGCAATATCCTCTAGAGTCGGTGTCTCGTCAAGATGGCTTTTTACGGAGAGTTGAGGCAAACTCGCAATTGCGTCAATGTTCACCGAGGGAGTCTGATTCAGTAACTCACAGAAATGTTCTTTTCATCTGTCACGAATGTCAGCCAAGTCCTTGTGAAGGGTTCCATCCTTGCCTGCAACTGGCCTAACACCCTGGGATGTTAGCCCATAGATCTTTTTGGTGGTTGCAAAGAAGGCTTTGCTGTTATTGCTGTCGGATAGAGCTTGAATCTCCTGTGCTTTTTGAATCCACCAATTATTTTCCATCTCACGAACCCGGCGTTAGACTTTGGATCTCATTTCGTGGTATTGCTGTTTCTTTATAGCATTACTGATCTCATTCTGCCAGACAGAGAATCTTTTACGTTTCTCAGCAAACATCTGCTCTATCTCTGCGTCATTGTCATCAAACCAGTCCTCATGGCACCACTTCTGGCTACCCAGAGTTTCGTCACAAGCTGTTTTAATGGCAGTCTTTAAGCCTTCCCAGAGACAATCAACATCGATATCATCAACGTGTAGCAGCGCTGCAGTCAATTTGGACTGTAACTCAGCTTGTTTCTCAGGGTGATCAAGTTTCCCTAGGTTATACTTGGGCCTCTGCCGTTTCGGCGTCATTCTTTGCTTTATGCGAATGACAAAGGACAAAGAGGATCGCATTAGCTTATGATCGGTCCTGCACTCGTCAGATGATGTCATTGTCTTGGTGATCAGAACGTCTTTTCTGTCACAGCAATGTACAATGAAATAGTCAATTATATGCCAGTGGCGTGATCTAGGATGTCTCCATGAAGTCTTATTTCTGTTCTTTTGGCGGAAGAGGGTGTTTGTTATCACCAGCTGGTGCTCCGCACATTTGGTCAGGAGTTGGATCGCATTGGAGTTAGCATTGCCTACCCCTTCCTTCCCAATGACATTTTCCCATACAGAGTGATCTCTGCCAACCCGAGCATTGAAGTCACCAAGGAGAATGATCTTGTGATTGGATGGAATCTGTGTTGACACAGAGTCAAGAGTGGAGTACAATATCTCTTTATCTTCAGTTTCAGCCTGTAGAGTTGGTGCATATGCGGAGATTACTGTCGCTTGTTGATTGGATTTTAGCTTCAAACGGAGTGTCATCAGGCGTTCGCTTACACCAACCGGGAGTTCCTCCAGGTTCCGAATCAGCTCATTTTTTACGGCAGAGCCCACGCCATGTATTCTCTGTTCATTCTCCTCCTTCCCCTTCCAGAAGAAGGTATATCCTGCTCCTTTCTCAGTCAGTTCTCCTTCAGCGCGACGGGTCTCTTGAAGCGCAGCGATATCAATATTATACTGGCGAAACTCACGAGCAACGAAGGCAGTTCGCCTTTCTGGTCTCTCACTGTTTTCAGTGTCCATCAAAGTACGTACATTCCATGTACCAAAAAGTTGTTGCTTTCTTTGTTTTCTACCCCAACAAAGGTGAACCCGCTGGGTGCGGTAACCCAGCCAGGGAATATAAGGAAACAGACTATGTTTAGGATACCTTTTCTAATCCTTTCCCCATGCGGGGTGAGCAGAGTGGCTCCTAAAGAGGACTGCTCAGACATGGGGGCGACTACCGAACTACTCTTCTGTTCCCAACTCCAAGAGCAGAGCGACTGTAACTTGACCCCCACCGCCTACGTGCTGGTTCACAACTGAAGGCTTCCAGACTTCACAATCCTGCCCCCGTCGCCGCTTACCAGTCGCCGTAGGACTTTTGGCCAAGTGGAAGCTGTGCGTGAATTTTTAACGTGAGTACAAAGTTGCACGGCAAAGTTCCCACGGTGCTTGACATCACATGTCCTGGTTCCA